CTTTCCCCCACTGAAAGGGTAAGCACTCATGTCTGCCTCAAATTTTTAGCTCCTCCCTGTGTCCACAAACAACAAATGAAGTATCAGAGCTACTATGAGATGCTATATTTTACACAAACATCTGTCTACTACTACTACAAAATAAAATGGATGCTTATAGTGCTACTCTCCCTCCTGCAGCAAACTTGATGTCTCCTGCCTTCCAGCCCTCCATCTGCTCTCTTACCACTTTATTACTTCTATTGCCCCCATGTTGCCCCACCCTGCCTAAATCAGCTTCTCATTGCCCCCTGGCTCCTTCCCTTCCCAGCACAAGTATGTTCTGGCCTGGTCTGTCCCATCCCCTTTCCCCACCTTCCCTCCCAAAAAAAGAAGAAAGCAGTTTTGTTTCCTTTACCGTCACAAGTGACGCCATCAGACTGAAGCTGGTATCCAACAAAGCAGGAGCAAATAAAACTGGCTCCCGTGTCCCTACACTGCTGGGAACAGGGACCAGCACCTAAAAAGCAAATGTGATTTTTGAGAACGAGTGAAGAATCTGATATCAGGAGGAAGTTCACCACACAAAACTGAAAAGATGTCAACTGCTTAATTACCAATGCCTAGCCAAAATCCAGGATATTTTACCATTATTTTAGAAGAATGCATGAGTTGAAGAGGGAAATATGAGCAAATACTGAGACAAATGGTCACATCTATTGTTTTATTTCATGAAAGCATTACAAAGAAGGAAAAAAAAACCAATTTTAATACACCATCACCATACATATTTCCTGCTTTAAAGTTCAGGAGGAAGCTGGTTAGCTCATATACCTCTTCGCGTAACTTTAGAAAATGGTAACTTTTTTACTGCACCATAAGAAGATCAAGACAGCTCATAACAGGTAAATTAAGCATTTACATTACCTTTGTTATACCTTTTTAATTATAAAAAAAGTAATCAAGCTCTAATTCCAGTATAAATATAGAAGTCAGGATGGAAATAAATTTGCTTCCTTGTCCTCCCTTTTTGCATCTTGCCTTAACTCCTACCATCACTATTGAGGCCGTCTTTTTTTTTCTTTTGATTTGGTTCCAAAATAAGTTAAGTTATCACAAAAATACCTTGTGTTTTGATGGTGATAGCGGATTGTTGTATGCCAGTTATTTGTGATAAGGATGTTGGAATCTTTTTATCTGCATCCATTTTTTCATAAACATTTTCAGGTATATGTAAATATTGCGGTTAAATATTCAGATGGCAGACTTCTATGGTACATTAAAGTCCCATCTTCATTAGGATGCACCAGGAGGAAGCCATTATAAAACCCACACTATTTGGAAATAGGGCAACTTTCGGAAATAGGACAATAGTTTTCTTTAAGCTACCAAGCTGTATGAGGTATTCCTCATACAGCTTGGTAGCTTAAAGAAAACTATTTCAGGACCTGGAACAATTCCTAATGAGGAACTGGCCCATGGTACCACATGGAATGATAGTTGATGTTACAGAAGTGGCAATGGCAATGTCTGTTAGAAGTACATGCGACCTCATAGTTAAAACAGATAGGTACCCAGTGCTCCATCTATGCTAACAGCCCCTCTGGAAGAAGCATTAAGTACAATTATTTTGGCAAAAAGCATAATGTAGAGACCCTCTCAGACGGAAACTGCCTCTGAAAAGAAATGAAGGAAGCCCTTTCACTTGGAAAAAACAAAATAAATTAAGCTTTAGGACAAAGTCTCTCAAATGTTTCTATTACATGGGTCTTGTCAGAAAACTTGTGTTGGAAAACAGCTTCCATTCGTGACTGGACAGACTACTCCACCTCTTCCTAGTCATGGAAGAATACCTAAGTGGCAATTAAAGTAATTGATTACATAGAGAGGTAACATTAGGAAAGCATGTAATGTACTTTTGACATGTACTATGATAAGGAACCAAAGACAAGAAGGAAAAACAGCTTTAGCCTTGGCAGGATGACACACCCAACGACCTAAATAGGTGTTTTCTGTCTCTAGCCTCTAGGGAGGGTAATATCCACACAACAGGCAGCATAGTAAATCATTCTTCAACTGCTAGGATATCTACAGTTGCCTGTCATAGGATGTAGATGCCCTGAACTTTGAAATGGCTGTATTTTCAAATAAGTTATGTAAGTGTCACTGTGGGATGCAAACAAACCCTGTGAAGGAGTACATCTGGCCTGACAGGTTGAAAAGTTATACTGCAATATCAGTCTATAACTCAAACATTATTCTACCCTAAATAGATTCCAAATTGTTTGTGAAGAACAGTAAATCATTGATGCCTTAAGCTCACAGTTATGTAAATCATATTTGAAAAGCAGTAAATTAAAATACTAAGCAGAACATTATCCAAATCAAACATTCCATCCAAGCATTTTGTCACAAAAACCAAGGCATAAAATTATTTAACCTTTTTTCCTTTCTTTTTCCAATTTTCATTTAGATGCTGCAGATAAACCACAAATTGGTAATGTTATTTCAAAACCAATCCTCAAGCTCTAAAGAATATGGAATGATTGTTCAGCACAATAATATCTCCAGACACTTCCAAATGAAAAGTCAAGTTTGTTATCTTCTGGAATCAGTTTTTATCCTGTGTACAACCAAGCTGACTGGATTGCTGCTCCAGATCCATGCCAACACCATCAACCATTAAGACTAGAGAATTAATTTTTCAAAAAGGCCAGTGGAATTTGGAAGATCCTATTCAATATTTTTAGAATCAAGTCTATGTGGGTGGATATCAGCAGATGATCTGGCCCTTTACTTTAAAAAAAAAAAGTTAATGTGTTACAAAGATAAGAATGGCCCAAGACAAGTAAAATGAAGTGAAACAGGCAGCTTAGTAACATTTTCCACTTCCTAGAAGCAAATACATCTGTTGCTCTACATGCCCATAGGGGGGCACACAGAGGTAAGAACTCACAGAGGTAAGAACTCTGTCTCATTACTTTCCTGCTGGGGCTATTCACTTCACTAGTACTAGAATAACAGGAAGTGTCTGAAGCAGGGGCAGGCAATTATTTTGGGTGGAGGGCCACTTACTGAGTTTTGGCAAGCCATTGAGGGCCGCATGATAGGCAGCCAGGGGAAGATAAATATTAATTTTCTAAATTTTTAGGGGCCCTGTGGCCCAGATAGAATAGCCTGGTGGGCTGCATCTGGCCCGCAGGCCGCATTTTGCCCACCCCTGGTCTGAAAGCTGCTATCCACCTCTCTTTAGGCAAGCAGGGAGTAGATACAAAAGGTGATGGCTGTTTGCACCTGTTAAGCTGTTGGTGTGGATCACTTCATCCTAGGCTCAAGAGATGAATGAAACCTGGTGTACTGTTTGGGCAGAACAACTGCATGCTACTCAATACACAAAGCTAGAAGGAGAATCAAGGTTTTAGCCCTAAGGTAGCTAGGTGAAGTTTTTCACTGGCTTGCTTTCTGGAGACAAACGTATCTAATCTTATCTGAGCTCAAGAAACAAAAGACAAGAGGTAACAAAAATCCTTTTCAGTAGGATCCAATCATGACACATAGTTGACATGAAACATTTTACAGCACAGTTGAATTTCTGCTCTAGCTACTGTGGTCAACCATCCTTGCTAAACTGTATAACAGTGGGACATGTTCTGTCTTAGAGAAGCATGAGCAACTCTTAAGAGACCTGCTGAGTTCTATGAAGCAGATTTGGGGTGCTACAATATATGAACTCTAAAAGTTTAGAGTGCATATACAAAAGTCACCAAACTTCACAACTTTCAGTAATAATCAAAAGACCTTCCTCAAAGCCAAGCAACCAAGCAACACATTATGTCCCATCACTTCCTCCCAGCCTTGAAAACTGGCAGGATCATCAATATCAGGAAATGACTTCTTGAGTAAGAGCCTAACAGGCACTTACCTATAGGTTACTGCTTCCTCGTCCTCCTATAAGGCTGTGTTGACAATCTCCACCCACAAGCAAGCCATTACATCCCAGTTAATGCCCACTAGCTATAAGGGACCACAAGGTGACTCTCACACTGTCTCAAGCTCTCCAAGTATTTTCAGATTGGTTTATACATACCAAAGGGTAAAATCTCTTGTCATATAATGACCTGCCTCTACAAGGAGCTGGAGTTTTCCTGAATGCTCAGATCAATCTCAGCTGCCCCTGAACTCAAAAGGAGTTGAAGCATCTTACCTCTGCAGCCATCATGAAGGTAAGGATCTTCTTGGTCTACTTCCTCTTTTGAAATGTCAACTGATGAAAAGGTGAAACAGGCATTAGAGAAAAAAAACAAGTTTTCTTCTCACAATAAAATACTGTGTACTTGAAAAAAGATTTGGACCAGGCCTTTGGGAATATCCAAAAGTAAATATTGAAGAAAATTATTTTAAAAGCAGTTTCACTGTTATGATTGAAACTTTAAATACTTGCAAAATGAGTGATTTACTAGAAAATATATTATGTAATCATGGATTACACAGAGACCGACATTTCCAAGTGAGTTCCTAAAGTCAGGCTTCTAACTAAACCTTAACCTGATCCTCATCAAATGTTCTGAAGCATTCGCAGCTCCCCCTGACTTCTGCTGCAGCACTTTATATAAAAATCAGATTAGCCATTTGTGTTCATTTAGACACTATTTTAAAAGCCACTCTATGCCTGAGGTTGACCAGGCAAATCTTATCATTTAAAATAAGGGCACATTTACAGTAATTAGGGATGCGCCCATAGAGATTTTGGGGGCCAATACCAATAGATGATTTTTAAGGAGACATATCAGCTGATACTGATCTGATTTCCAATATGCAGCCCAGCAGCTTGAAGAGCTACATCCAGCTGGTAAGTCTGTTGTGGTGGAAGGGGAGGGGGGAGAGAAGGGGCGGAGGTAGATCAAGGCCCCTGCAGTGTGGGAGGGAGTGGGACTGGGGCCAGGGCAGGGTGGGGTGTGGGACAGAGCCACAGCTCATCTGGTGGGCATGGCTCCTGCCACTGCACGCACCCTGGAAGGGCACAATTTTCTTTATATCAGTGCTGATCCAATACTGGACCGATGTATTGGTGCACCTCTAACATTAATTAGAGTTCTTCCTTTTCCATACACATTCCACCAGTGGCATGCATGAATCCTAGGTATATCGAGCTCACAGGCTTTTGGCCAGCAGTGTTGCACAGCTCATATGCCCTGAGAGTTTTTATATTTCACACTAAAAGATCAGATTGTGCATCACCACTCAGATGCTTCTTAAGTAAAGGACTCTGAGGTAGGGTGAACAGACAGCATGTCATGGAACATACACATAGGCAACAAACACATCATAAAGAGCTGCAGTCACCATAAAGTAACTTATTTTCCTTCAAGTGATCATTAGCATGCCCATTCCAACAACAGTAACTCAAGCCATACATCACAGTGATCTGTGATTAGTCATGACTACAATAGAACCTAATAATATGTAGTGTTCCACGTTTCATAGATTCATAGTAGCTAGGGTCAGGAGGGACCTGAACAGATCATCTAGCCTGCCCCCCTGCCATAGGCAGGAATAAATGCTGGGTTCACAAGACCCCAGACAGGTGATCATCCAACCTCCTCTTGAATTTGCCCAAGGTAGGGGCGAGGACCACTTCCCTGGGAAGTTGGTTCCAGATTTTGGCCACCCTAACTGTAAAATATTGCCTTCTGATCTCTAACCTAAACCTATTCTCTATCAGTTTATTATCATTGTTCCTCGTCACCCCAGGTGGTGCTGGGGAGAAAAGGGCTCTACCTATTTGCTGTTGATCTCCCCTGATGAGCTTGTAGGCAGCCACTAGGTCTCCCCTCAGCCTCCTCTTGCTGAGGCTGAACAGGTTCAGGTCCTTCAGTCTCTCCTCGTAGGGTCTGTCCTGCTGCCCTTGGCTGGCCTTGCTGGCTGCAGTCTGGCATTGGCGGCTCATGTTCATCTTGGAGTCAATAATGACTCCAAGATCCCTTTCTGCCTCTGTGCTTTCGAGAAGGGAACTCCCCAGCTTGTATGTATGCTGTGGATTCCTTCTCCCAAGGTGCAGCACCCTGCACTTGTCTACGTCGAACCCCATCCTATTGTCATCTGCCCACTTTTGTAGTCTGTCTAAATCTACTTGCAGCCTCTCTCTCCCTTCAAGTGTGTCCACCTTGCCCCACATCTTAGTGTCACCAGCAAACTTGGACAGCGTGCTTTCCACCCCCTCGTCCAAGTCACTGATGAAGATGGTGGCTTTTGTATTAGAACAATGTGTTGTGACTGTGTGACCTGACCCATCCCTGGGTAGCTGCCTTCCATATAGCAATGGCAAGCAGATTCTTTAGCAATGCTACTCAGGCTGCCAGAATTCTAACAAAGTGAAGAGCAGTGGAACAGGTTCCATCTAGCCACCTCATCATATATTCCAACACAGTTGAATATTCAATGTGATAGACTCTGTTTTGATGTGGCTTTGTCTTTCATTCTCTCTGCAAGGGAAAAAATAGCTTGCATGAAGATCTGGACAGTTGCATCCAGTTCAGGTCAGAAAAGCCATTTTTCTACATCTAAGGTTTGTAGATGAGTCTAAAGATCCCAGGTCAGATGCTGGTTTCATGGATCTGCTGTCTGGACTTCCTGTCTTTTCTAGTCCTGGAAATGAACAGCATGCTAGAGATGTGCAGTTCCTCCCGCAGCCCGTATCCCTCCTCCCTCCCTGATCAATAAAGATATTTCAAATTTACAGGCACAGCTCCTTATCAAAGAAGGAATACTTGATGTCCAGGGACCTAGAGAAGACCATTCCAGATCTAGTTCAAAGAAAAAATAGTAATTTGTCAGTAGCCAAAAACTATTAGCAATAAACTCATTATATTCAGTTGCTATGGTAAGGATTGCTAACAAAGAGCAGAGAGCCAGTTTTTCCATCTCAAAGCCTAAGAGTAAAGACAGGAACTGAACAGCAGTTGGTATGCCCTATCCATTTATGCCCTTCAGAGCAGGAAGACATTCTTGTGTGTTGTATAGATATTGGTGGCAGAGGACTCTGAGTTCAGGTGCACATACACCATTGGGTACATGGACAGTCAATCAAAGGAGAGCACAATACTACAGCTGCTACTTAAATCATTCAAAGGACAAGCATTCCTCCCTTCCTTGCACCCAATGAGGTTATGGAGTGCTGCTCTGCTGTCCCAGACAATTTTTTTCACAGCACGGTATACCTTGGTTCTTCTTCGGAACATCATCACTAACAGACATGTCAGTGCTTCCTTGACCTTTAGCACAGCAGTCGCTGAAAATATTCCTACACTGTTGTCCTATCTTTAGGTTCGAGTCACAGCTCTTTCCTTCAAGTTGGGCACTGTGTCCCAGCAAGCAACAGAAACAGCATTTCTGTCAAAACAAAAGACAAATAGCGGGTGAAATCCTGTACTGCCAAAGTCAAGAAGGATTTTGCAATTGATTGCAGTATGGCTAGGATTTCTCCCAGTTCATTTATAGAAAACTGAACATCTTTTGCCCCTGATTCTGAAAAGTCCTGAGATCCTTAATTACAGGGTAATTGGGTCTCAGAACATTTTTACTCTTACAGGTCCAGTTGCACTCATCCAATTAGCTTTAGATCTAGTCCTTAAACAAGATATACTGACCAAAGCTATGCTCTGGATTCAACTCTCATGAACCCTGGGCAGTGATGAAGGAAAGACAGAGTCTTATTTATAAATAAACTGCATACCTTCCCACCCCTCTTCCTCAACTCTCTCAGCTTCCCAAAAAATCTTCACACAAAAGTACCTGCATGATATCAAAGTTAACAGACCATAAAAGGAAGGTGTGATCACTGGAGTACACCCCTCCACATCATGTAATAGCATCACATCTTTACAGCCCGATCCTGAAATGGTATCCATTAATGAAACACAGATCTTTGTTTCTTATTCTAGGCACGATGGTTTGCATTGGCAGAGCTGAGCCTAAAAATTCACTGCAGGACTGAAAAAGGAAAGGCAAGGCTGATTCAAAACCAACGACTATTCTGATTCTATTCTGAATTGAGAGCACATTGCTGGCTTGCTCAGTTTTCTCTCTCCCCTGCTGCGAGAAATGAAGGGTGTAATTTGATTCATGGCAACCAATGTCTGCTGTGACGTAGAAGGTAGATTTAAAGGCTTATTCCTTTTAAATTACTTTTCTAGTTGTATTTTGGCTCAAAGAGAGTAGCCTGCACCACTATAATAAAAGCAGCTGAAACATGAAATAGCTACTCATTGTGGAAGTTAACAAACTAAATCTCTTGTGTCATTTCAAGAAGACATTTCCATCCAAAAACATGAAAAGTAGTAAATGTCTCCCAGCTGCTCCCTTCTCAACTTGCTTACATAAATGGTTGCATATATATGTTCTGTTTTCACTATTCTGAAGGATAAAATAATAAACTTTCTCTTTGTTTTCCCCTCAGTCTTGTTTTATCCTGCAATCTTTAGAACAGCAAGCTATATATCTGACTTAGTGCTTGGGTATAGGTTGTAGCTGTGTTGGTCTAAGGACATAGGCAGACAAGGTTCTTTTGGGTAAATCCCGTATCTTTTATTAGACCAACTCAAATAGTTGGAAAAATTCTTCTTTGCAAGCTTTCAGGTACAAATACCCTTTGTCAGGCTAAGGAAGCACCTGCAGGATGAATTAATTCCATCCAGGAAGGGCAGAGACCAACTGCAGGTGCTTCCTCAGCCTGACAAAGGGTATTTGTACCTGAAAGCTTGCAAAGAAGAATTTTTCCAACTATTTGAGTTGGTCTAATAAAAGATACGGGATTTACCCAAAAGAACCTTGTCTGATTTTGTGCTTCACATTTTACATGAATCTAAATCCAAATCCTTCCCCCATGGCTAGACATCACTGCAGGAATAAACTCCGCCACCTCTGTCTACACAGGTCCTCTCTTTGCTTGTCTGTCATGTTAAGTTCCGGAAGATTTCCCTTTCAACGTACTGTTTGATGTACAGGTTCTTTCATTTTAATACAGCCCACTATGTTTTCATCTTCTATTCTAGGTAACTTTATAAGTAGAAGTTGATAAGATCTGTGATGAATACTGACATTTGCTCTGAATTCACTTAATTTTAACACGTAGCATTTACCTCATGAATTTACTTTAAAAAATGTTTAGACATGTGCCTATACTTCTGAATTTCCAGCTTTCACATCTGTAGATTAAAAGGGATTGAAAGAGGTTCATAGTTTGGTCTTTAGGTTATACATTTTCCATAATCAAGTCTTGTTTAAGCTAGCAAATGTAGCTGTCACCTTGCCAAATCATGATGTTATTCTCTCTGAATACTCCCACTGGCTTACACAAAGTAGTTTCAAACTTATCTCATCTCTTACACTACTCTGCTATCTAACATACTGTTCCAGTAGGATGCTGCCAGAGTTCTCATTAGATAGTCTTCCCCCACAAGGGTTATTATACCTGTCTTTCTTACAATGATGGGCAATCTCTCAGTTTTGCTGGCATGTTGTTTGAACTATGTCTTCAGAAAAATCTAAAGCTTCTAGCGCACACAGGCCAGAATTCTATTTCCATCTAGAGGCTGACAGAAGACCATTTTAAGACCAAACCTGAATTATCTAACAAAAAGTAGGAACAATTTTATTACCCCCTCAGAGTATATAAGTGCCCACATTATTGGATTTTAGGGTCAACTTCCTGGCTAGAGACAGAAGTTACACACAAACCAGTGTAAGTGGTCAGGAACCAGTTTAAGCCTGTAACAGAACAGAAGTTCAATGCACATAAACCAGTTTCAAAATGGCTGAAACTGGTTTAAGATAAACCTGGTTGAATGTAGTATCAGACTTAACTGATTTGCATCAAACCGGTTTATGGAACTTCTGTCCCTGACCCCTTCCTGGTTTCAGTTAAACCGGAGTCCCCCAGCATCTCATCATGCTTTTCAGCATGGGCTGTGTTCTCTGCTCCAATGGTGCAGGGCTGACCCCACCCCTAACGGCCAGCAGGGACTTTTCCATCCCCAGCAGTCGGGATTCCCCTGCCTCATCCCCTCCTCTAGCAGGGAATCAACCCAGCTCCCAGCTGGGGCAGGGGAATAAAGCCCCTACTGCCAGCTTCCCCCTGCCCCACCAGGCACTGCAGGACAGTCTGGGGCAGGGGAGCTGCAGCCCAGGATGTGAGACCCCCTCCCTCTTCCAGTGTCAGCTGCGCTGCAGCCCTGCCACAGCCTGGTGGGTGAAGCAGTCCGGGAGCCACCGAGGCTGTGCCAGGCAGGGCTGATAGGCAGCGGGGGCTCTGGCCATGCAGGAAGGAGGACTCACCCAACACCCTCAGGGATTTTGGGGCAGACCCAACACCCCAGCAGGGGCAGGGACAAGGTGCCGGGCTGCATCTCTGCCTAGGAGGCTCCAGGCAGCCCCAATGCTCTGATCCCCCCAAGCCAGCTTCAGTGGTCGTGCCTTCTCTGCTGCTCCTGGGATGCAGCAGGGGTCTGCAATGGGGGTAGGAGAGGGATGGGGAGGAGGCTGCTGTTTTTCCTCCTCACTCCCTTCTCAGCTAGCCTGCCAGCCAAGGAGAAGGTGTCACGGGGTGATCCACACAGATCTCAGCTGCAGGGAAGCCCAAAGTCCCCACCTGCCTAGTGCTGGGGGGGGCTGGACCCAATGATCTTGTGAGGTCCCTTCCAGCTCCTTCCAATCTATGAATCTATGAACCTGAGCTGGGAGCTGGGGTGATCACCTGGCCACGTCCCCTCCCCAACTGGCAGGCTGGCTGGGGGGGGACGGGACACCTAGGAAGGTGTTTTCCCCATTCCCAACTCCCAGCTGGCCTGCCATCTGAGCAGGAGCCATAGCCAGGTGATTGGCCCAGCTTAGGCAGGGGAGTAAAGCTCCCACCGCATGCTTCCCCATTGCCAGGAGGTGGGCCAATCACCAGGCTGATATCCCTGCTCAGCCAGCAGGCAAGCTGAAAAGACAGTGGGGGGGAAAAGTGCCCTCCCCCCCCCCCAGCTTTGGATCCCAGCCAGGCTGTGCCTGGCACAGGAGATGGGAAGCCCACAGCAGGAGCCATTTCCCTGCCACTCTCTCCCAGCTGCAGGCAAGCCTGTACTGGGGGCATTACTCCCCTGCCTGAGCAGGGAGCTGGCCCAATCACCCAGCCATGCCCACTGCTCAGTGGGCCAGCTGATGAGGGAGTGGGGGGAGGGGGGGGAAAAATGGCCCCTGCTGTGGACTTCCCACCCCCTGTGCCAGGCACAGCCTGGCTGGGGTCTAAAGCCAGGAGCTGGACAGAGATCAGGCACCCGTCACCTGCCATCTGCTCACAGCAGTGCTGGGTGCTTGGGGCAGGCTGCTGCAGGCCATGCACGTGGGCGGCAGCAGGGGGAGGCAATGGACTGTCATAGCCTGGCCCCATGGCCTAGGGACGTAGGCAGCAACTGGCCTGCAATAGCCTGCCCCGAGTGGCTGGGGCTGCTGCAAGCAAGCAGCATGTGACAAGTGCCTCACCTCTGCCTGCTACAATAGTTCACTCCACTGCTGCCACCAGGAGAGGCATGGGGAGGGGAGCCAAGCTCCAGGCCACCTGCAAACAACGGCATGTGGGGCTGCAGGCAGGAGATGGCAGGCACTGCCCCCTGCCCCCTATGGCTTCCCCAGCCCGGGCCTCACTACTGCAGTGGGATGTAGTGGTGAGTTGAGCTCCCCCACATCCCCATACCCAGGCCACATCCTCACTCCCCGCAGCTGCTGGCTGCTCTTTGGAGGGATTTGGCCCAGGGCACGTTGGTGCCCCAAGTGGGGACTAAACCTCCTCTTCTCTCAGGCTACTGGGGACTGGCCCCTGAGGTCATGGGTGCATGGCCCCGGGTGCAAGAGCAGAGCTGTTGCTGTCCAGACTGCTGCCTCCCTGCAATGGAGGGATTAAACCCCATTTCCCCTCAGGCTACCAGGGTCTGGCCCCACCCCCACTCCTGCCACCAGCCAATGAGTAAGCAGGGATAGCAGGGCTGGGGGCCCCTGACAGGGGCTGCTTCTACCTGCCCTCTCCAGGCATACCCAGGCTGGGGTCCCTGCAGGCAAGGGTGGGGGTTTATACCCCTCCCCAATCACAGTCAGGCCTGCACATGCCTTGCCACATCCCTTCACTCAACTTAGTTTCCCTCCAGCCAAGGGCTCACTCTAGCACCCCTGCCTTCTGGCCTGAGCCACCACAGGCACGTGCCTGCATTTCCGGTGTCAAAAGTAGACGCCTGTCCACTTGCAAATTGATTCAATCTATGCAGGTTCGAGTAACTTGCAAAGATTGAATCAATTCAGGCTCTGGCTTTTTGAATGTCTGTCCCTAGCCCCTGAGACACACAGCTGTCTCACTACAA